CACTGACCTTAAAATGCGTGACTGTCGTCCATCACCCCGACGGGCCCGGTGTGGTCACAGCGTCCTCAGCAGGGGCAGGGGGAGGGGAGGGTCCGCCGAGGGGTGGGAAGCCAGGGAGGAGGAGGGGCGAGAGCCCAGGAGTACTGCAGGCTGGGAGCAGAGTCTCCTCACAGCCCCAAGGCCCAGCCTGGTGACTCACCGACCCTGGCTTTATGGGGTCCCGCGGGAGGCCAGGACGGGAGACGGTCCTCCTGAGGTGGGCTGTGGGAGCCAGAAGAGACTGAGCGACACCAGCCGCCTCGCCTTGGAGACGGAACACTGACACGTGGCCAACCCACGGCTGCCTGGCTAGACCCAGCAGGAATTGCAGCTAGAGTCAAAGCCAACAGGGAGGTTTCCTGACTGTGAACTTACATCCACGACTGTTTGCAGTCAAGTTTGCCCGTGTCTGTGTCTGCACAGTGAGCCTCCGGGGACGTGGCCTTGGTCGGCTCCAACGCCCTTCAGCTGTCCCAGGACCCGCACCAGGATCTTAAAAGAGGCTTACTGAGTCTTGCTACTCTCATGGACAGTGTTAATATCAGTACTGATAACCACGGCAGGAAGATGGAAGGTTTCAGCACCCAGTTCCCAGCAGTGCGCTGTAGATCTTGTCTGCCTCCCCATATGTCACCTCGTGTGTGTGTACTTAGTCACATAGTTTATGTGTGGGCACACACGTACGTGTCGTAGCTGCAGAAAAAGTCTCCCGGGTAGAGTCGCGTGAAGCCAGGGATGTGTCAGGGGAGGAACCCTGGAATTCACAGGGCGAATGGCCTCATAGATACCTGGACCCGAACTACTTGCAGGAAAGCAAGGTCACCCCCGAGCGGCGGTTTTTTCTCTGTTCCCGAGCTTCCCTTATTAACTTTTTGCACCTCAAGTTACACTCAGAACACGAACGGCGAACGTGTGTGCGATGCTTTGTGAAGAACCTGTTTCCTGGCCGTGAATTCCATCACACAGGCCAGAGTGAGGTTAGCTTGAGCCCAGACCGTTCTGGAAGTAAGGCGTGGGCGGCAAGTGAAACCATCAAGGAAATGTGGTCGAAGCCACGCCTGTGGCGACCTGTGTCCAGTGCAGAGACGGAAAGGAAGCACGATCCTGGGACGTTAACACAGTTCCACAAGCTTGGGAAGGGATCCCCAAAGAAGGAAGCTCAGAGAAACTTGCCTGGGCTTTCATTCACACCTGCGGCAGCTGGACTTTGGGGTGTCTGAACTGGGGGTGGAGCTGCGTCTGTCACAGCTCAGCACACCAGGAGAGGTCCGTCCTTTCTTACCCCTGAGGATCTCAGCTCACTGGTGAGAGCCCCGAGTAGCATCTGTCGCCCTGGACGCCCTCGCAGAGGCACAACTATAGACAGAACTACAAGCCCGATTATCGGTGTGTTAACCTCGACCCTATGACCTCAGAAGCCAAGGCTGACCACAGCAGCTGCCGGGTGGGCCGCCCTGTCGCCTGATGTTCACGGGAAGTGTGCTCCACAGGGCTCCTGCGTGTGAGTGCGCTGAGACCCTCACGGGGCCTCCACCAGGCACCTCCGTGGTATCTGCTTACACTTTCAGCAGCTCCAGGCAGTGTCTTGGTTGGGCACAGCTGAAACTCACGCCCTTCACACTGATTGTAAAATCCTTCCAGCAGGTGGGCACAGCGGGGAGGCAGGCCCCGAGGGGAGGACCCTGGCCCCGGCCAGCTGACCCCGTGTTCTAGGGGCGAGGACAGCCATGCCGCGCTTCCCCTGCATCCCGGCATCATCTCCCCAGGGAGGCTGAGAGCCAAGGTGGGGGCTTCTCAGGAGCCAGGGCTCCCCCAGACTCACACACACACCAACTGCACCCTGAGCCTGAGCCTGGCGCCGCCTTCTGCCCCCTCCTGGGCAGAGGGGCTGTTCGGCCTGCCTCCCTGGCCAGAGCACAGCGGGGTGTGTCTGAGTGGGTACCCAGACTGGCAGCGCTCCCTCGGAAACGGCGTGGTTTCCCGCCGTCATGTGGGGGAGTCGCCCTTGGTGAGATGACCGCTCGGAAGGTGTGCATGCCGTGGCCCCTGGGCCCAGGGGACTCAGTGGAGGAGCATGGTCTTCTCCCAGAGCTGACTGGGCACGTGTCAACAGGGTGTGAACAGAGGGCGCGATCGTCCTGCTCCACCAGCGCTGTGAGCACACCTGCCGCGGGGGTTGGGTCTCCCAGGCTGAGAGTGGCCCCTCCGCTCGGGGTGACAGGCTGCGAAGACGTGATTAACTGCCGTGGGTCAGAGCTGGGCGGCGGCCTGCTAACTGTGTCCCTTGTTCTTCTTTGGTCTCAGCTGGGCTTCGGGTCCTTCCTAGGAATCGTTGGCATCCACCTGGTGGAGAATCGAAGACAGATGGTAAGGAAACGTAGCCCTTCTTCGTAGCGCAGGCGGGGGTGGCAGCCCCTCTGCAGGGGACAGCACGGCTGCAGCTGGTGCTCCAAGAAAGGCTCCCTACCGCCATTACCAGCTCCCACGGGCCAGCACTCCGGCCTCCTGATCCGGGACTTGGGGTGCAGCAGGGCAGTCACACATTAGTCTAAGCGAGCTCCAGCCCAGGGGTCACAGGGCATGTCCCCCAGCCTCACGTGGGGCCCTGCCCCTGAGGTGAGGGCAGGGCAGGCCCAGGAGGGAAATTAAAGGAAACCTTGAGTGTGTGGGGCAGGTGGAGACGCAGGGAGCGAGCGTCTCCTTGGGATCACCGCCCTCGGCCTCCCCTTGTGTCTGAGCCTCTTCGACTCCAGCTGCCAGGCCCAGGAGAGGGGGCGGTGCAGGCGGAGAGGCGGGAGGAGCCTGGCCAGACACAGGGACAGGGAGTGGAGGTCCGGACGCCGCCCACACTGGTGACTGGGCACGGACGCTGACGGTGGGTGGTTTCAGTGGCGAGGCTGTTTGTTGATGTGCCGTCCGGTCTCCGGCCATGAACATCAGCACCCGTCAGTCTTGCCAGCTCACGGTGGTGGCCAGGAGGGAGTTTTAAGAGCGGGGGTCCGCCCCTGCCGGATCTCCAAGGCTGCCACCCGAGATTGCGGTTGGGGTCAACTCTGTCCTGCCTGGCTGTCGTCTCATCGTCTCATCCAGCTCTTGGGTGACCTGTGCTGGGACCCACTGCCCCTTCCCTGTCCCCAGGCCAAGAGGAAGTCGGGGTGCAGCTGCGGGGCTCACTCTCTAACCCCGTGCAACCTGCGTGGGGCTGGCCCTTCCCCTCCGGGAAGTGGCCCTCGGGAGGTGGGAGCCTGGCTGGGAGGTCCTCAGGGGGTGAGGGGCGTGAAGAGACAGGGACTTCAGGGTGCGTGGGGTCGGTCTTCAACGGTGGGAGCAGACAGCCCTGCAGGGTGAGAGGCCCTCGCCCACCATGTGGAGCCGGACACTGTGTTGGCGGCTGTAGCTTTGTAGCAAGTTCCAAAATCAAGAATGGGGTCTTCAGCACCTCCCGTGCTTCCTTGGGAGGGTGTTTGACCACTCAGCCTCCTTCGCAACCCACTTGCCAGTGTCTCCGGGTGAGCCAGTGGGGTGGGGGCATAGGGGCTTGGGGGCTCGGACAAGGACGTGGGGTTCCTGCAGCTCCCTCGGGGGTGCTGCCATCTCTGCAGCGATGAGAGTCCCAACCCTCAAAAACAATGTGTCCCCATTTGCTTGGGACTTCTGTGACTGTTTCCAACCATGTTTTGTCGTGAAGAGTATGTGTTCGACACTTCTTTTGTTACCATTAATTCTGAGTATTCTATTGTTTTTGAGGCTGTTGTGAGCGGAACTGTCTTCTTAATTTGATTTTGGATGGCTCACTGCAAGTGCCTGGAGTTAGTGGATTTTTGTTTGTGGGTCTGTGTCCTGCAGCCCCGTGGAACCCATTTATGAGCTCTCCTAGACTTTCAGTGAGTCCCTCGGGATTGTCCATCTATAAGAGTGTGTCATCTCTGCACAGAGATACTCTGCGTCTTCCCGTCCCGTCTGGGCACTGGGGCTCCATCTCTATGGCCTTGGTGAAAGAATCAAGGGCACCAGAACCACGAGATCGAGACCCAGGGGATGGCACTGCCCGGGTGTGAGGCTGGCTCTGCCCAGCCTTCCCCAACAGCCGAGGTGGTCACTCGGGTGCCCGGGCCAGAGCCTTGGAGGGCTGTCTGTGCACATGGACAAGGCTGGCACTAGGGTGCTCTGGCCAGAGCTGTGGGGAGCTGTCTGTGCACACTGGCAAGGTGGGCACCTGGGCATCCTGACCAGAACCTTGGAGGACCATCTGTGCACCTGGGTGAGGTGGGCACCCGGGTGTCTCCGCCAAAGCCTTGGAGGACTGTCTGTGCACCTGGGCAAGGCGGGCACCTGGGAACTCAACCAGAGCCTTGGAGGACTATATAAGTGCACACAGGCCAGATGGGCACTTGGGTGCCCCAGCCAGAGCCTTGGAGGACTGTCTGTGCACACGGGTGTGGCGGGCACCTGGGTGCCCTGGCCAAAGCCGTGAGGGTCTGTCTTTCCAGGGCAGGCATGCTTCTGGGCCAACCGTGTATGATGAGCATGCATTTCACAGTTTAACATCAGTTTACTGTGAGGGCAGTGGAAGCCTGGCTCCCCCATGGGTGCCGTGTCATCTTGGGGCACTTACTGAACCGTCTGAGTCCTGCTTCTTCGTGGAAGGCAGCTGTGAGCATCTGAGCTGACGCACGTGAGGGTGCCAAGCCCACAACGGCTTTCAGAGGGAGCAGCCCTTGTTAAGCTCATGTGACGCCCGTGTTCAGGCCCACGGGTGGGTGGAACATTCCGGCTGCCTTCACCGGAGGCATGCGCCGGTGGCGGTGTCAGCGAGAGTGCAGGCAACAGTCTTCAGGCGCCTCCGGATGCACATGCAGGCCGTTGGCTGGGTTTCCTTTTATTTAACGTGGCGACCGCGGCAGACTTCAAGCGCACTCAGGTGGGTGGGAGAATGGACCGAGCCTCCTGCCTTGTGCCTCGCTGACGGCTCTCGGAGGTCCTGCTCCATCGGCTCCCCGCTCCTGCGCCATCTTGAAGCAAAGCCCAGACGCCATGTAACTTCATTTGCAGTCGTCTCACTCTGTTCACTTTGGGGGTGGAACCCGATCCCTGGAAAGGGCCTTGCCATTTGCCGCTGCCTGCTGTGAAGCTGGTCTCCGGGGTCACCTGAGCACGGCCGTCGTCAGGCTCGGATGCATTCCCCCGTGCGCGCCCTACCGCCCACTCCTCTCCAGACCTGCGAGCCGCAGCCCTCACGTGGCCATCCTCCTGGAAAATCCACCGACTTGCTTAAAATCCAGCGACCGAGGAGCCTCCGTGGGCCCCATAAGACGGACGCTTCCTACAGAGGACAGGCATGCGGCCTTTGGTCAGACCTACCCTGTTTCCCATCCAAGTGTGGGAGGGTGGGGGTCTGGCTGCCCCACCTTTAACTTCTGCATCGTGGGAACTGCCTCGCCCTTTGGAGGAGGGGAGTCCAGCCCTTGACCTCGCCATGTGGGCGGGGCTAAAGAGGCAGGGCCCTGGGACTGGGACGGGAGGGGTTGTTCTCCTAGCTCTCAGGATCACAGCATCCGGGGTCTGCAGGTCACCATCAAGGACACTTGGTGACGTCCACAGTGGGCCACCCAGAGCAAGAGCCGATGGGGAGCCTGCAGCCTGACGCCCGTCTCTGGGCAGGTGTCGGAGAGACGGGCCTTCTGCAGGGCAGGGTCCGGGCAATGGCCCATCTCCACGTGCAGCTTCTGAATTCCAGACTCACCCAGGGCTGGAGAGTGACACAGGAGCTTGAGCACGGACACAAGTGTGTGGCGTCCCACGCTGCAGGGCCAGCCCAACCCAGGATGCGGGCTCTTCCCGCTATGGCCTCCTCGAAGGTTCCTTCCCTGAAGCTCGACACACCCTTGAGATGTCCTTCTTGTCGTCCACACTCTCACGTCCACCTGCAGAGAGGGAGTGCTTGGTGGGCCCCTCTCCGTGCTTCTCAGGCTCTGTGGACGCTTCTCCGAGACCGGTGGCCCGGATGAGCCAGGAAGTCAGACGATCCCCGTGCCGGGCCGTGAGCGCCTGCAGTCGTGGCTGACCCCGCAGCGCCCTCTCCAGTGCAGCCCCTGCCGAGTCCTCCCGGGACGCCATGAGACATGTGGAAACACCGACCCTTCCTCTTCCACGCTGACTCTCGGGCCACACCTTGGGATGGGTTAGAGGTCTCAGGATTCGGGCCTCACCCCCACGCTCTGCTCAGTCGCCCAGACCTTCTGGAATTGGGTTAAATTTGGGAGAAGGGCGGGCAGCTGGGTGCGGGACGGGGTGAGCGACCTGGAAGCTGGATGGTCCCTTTGTGGGGCGTCAGCTGCAGGAAGTGAAGCCAGGCCCAGGCTCCGGCCCGAGTCTCCAGGCTGAGGCCTGGCTCTGCTCCTGGGGAGGCTGCAGGCGGCCCTGACCCTGAGCATGACCTCCTTCTGCGGGTGGCGCTGCCATCTCTGGTCCCGCCACCGGCTGCTTGGTGCCCTGGGGTGGAGCTGGGCCCTGTGCCACCGCTGGGGTGTGAGCTGCCCATGTCACTTCTCAGTCTCATCCCATGGCCACAGTGGAGGGCGAGACCCTGAACCTCAGGCCAGGCATGCTGCCCCCAGCCAAGCTTGTACACTCATAGACACTCTTTCACGGTCCGCAGACTTCCACTCAGGGCAGTAGAGAAACCGGTGAAACCCATACTGACCTCGTGTCTCTGTCACTCCAAGCAGCTGAGAGAAACTTGGGCTCAGCCAGGGGAGGGGTGGCCACATCATTCATGACCACTGTTACATGCCCCACATCACAGACATGGCCACACGCAGTCAAGTCCTGGCCTTTGGACTCTCACCTGGGTGGGAGGGGCTGAAGCCCCTCCAACCCTCACACTTCCATCTCGGCCCCAAATCACGGGATTCCCATCCTGTGGGTTTTTTTTTTTTTGAGTTAGAGTTTCACCCCGCTGGGCTCCAGCAGTTCTTCTGCCTCAGCCTTCCAAGTAGCTGGAACTACAGGCATGCGCTACCACACCCAGCAAATGTCTTATTTATTTAGAGACAAGTTCTCACCAAGTTGCCCGGGCTAGTCTCGAACACTCAGGCTCAGTCAATCCACTCTCCTTGGCCTCCCACAGTGCTGGGATAACAGGCTGAGCCACCGAGCCTGGCCCTGTAGGGTTTTTACGTGGCAGAGAACTGTCCGAAGTGTGTGGACTCACCACAAGAGCATGGCTGCTCCAAGCCTGTCATCCAGAACGTGCTTATCCCAACTCCTGACAAGCTCTGGCCGGTCACTCTGCCCTCACATGTCCCCCTCAGGGCCCTCCACGCCAGCACCATGGCAGAGGCTCCGTTCCGTGGCTCCAGCAGACTATCCTGCAGCTGCCAGGGGGCTCCCAGGGGTCACCCCTGTGGTGCCTGTGCCAGCCCTGCCATCCCCACCTGGGATGGTCCCTGTCATGAGTGGCTTCTGACACCCCAGGGTTGCATCACGACGGCGGGTGGGGACGAAGCTTGTGTGTGGGAGGCCCGGGCAGTGTTGGGGCTGTAAACCTTCCCCCACAGCCTCGGACAGAGCCTGCCTGTCCCCAGGACCTTCCAGGCCGGCAGCTCGATGCCCAGCGATGGGAACCGGGTGAGTGGCCGCCTGGGGGGGCTGCAGCTCTCGGCGGCTGTGGGGCGTTCGCTCTGCCCAGCACAGCGCTGACACGGGGGCTGTGAGGGGATTGTGGCCAGCCCTCGTCCTGCAGGGCTGGAGGTGGGCAGAGACACCAACTGGCTAGCAGGATGTAGGGTGGACGCCCTGTTCCCAGCAGAATGTGCAATGGCAGGAAATCACAGGCAGCGCAAGAACCCGTCAGCAGGGCTGGTTCTAGACTCGGCCATGTTGTCCCGGCCCCACGCCCCAAGGGGCTCGCACAAGCAGGGGGTGTGAGTGTGGACCATCAGTCTGTTTTCTCCAGGAAGACCTGTGGCACGTGTGCATGCATGTGTGTGTGCATAGTGCCCGCGGGTGACACCATCCTGCACACGCCTGCTGTCAGGGTTACTCCTGGAGGAAGCCGTGAGGCTGGGAGCTGTGACAGCCCTCCTGGCGGGGGCGCCTCCGTGTGTCTCGAGAGTGAACCCCGGAGGGCACCATCTAGAAAGAGCCGTCCCGTGCCTTTGGAGTGCACCCTGAGTGAGGGGTCCCCGTGCGTCCCGAGAGTGAGCCCCAGAGGGCGCCGGGGCAGGGGCCCGTCCAGCCCACCGGGGCCTTGGGCTGTGGGTCTGGGCAGAGATGAGGGCTGACAGCTCCGGAAGGGCTGGCTGCGCTGGTGGCTGCGTGGCTGAAACGGCGCTTCTTGTGCTGCAGCTGGCGGCGGCCCTTGTGTTCATCAGCTTCGGCGTGGGGGCGGCGTTCTGCTGCGCCATCGTGGACGGCGTGTTTGCGGCACGGCACATCGTGAGTGTCCTTGCCGGCGTCATGGGCGCGTCCGGGTGAAAAGTCCACGATAGGCCATGACACTTCGCTCTCCAGAGCCGGTTCAGACGTCCTCCCTGAGGGTCTCACGGGGGCTGCCACACACCACACGAATGCCACAGACACACCATGCAACACGCACACACAGTACACACCACACAATGCATATCATGCACGCACACGTATCCCACACCCCCAACACACACATACCTCGCAACATGCACACGATACACACACACATCATCACACGTGCCATACGACATGCGTACAACACGCACATACCACAGCCACATCCAGGCACATGCAGCATGCACCACACAACACACACCCATGTCACATACCACATAACAGACACAACACACCCCGCGCCACACAACACATACCACACAGTGCACACTACATCCATGTATACACTCACACCACATAAGCCACATGACACGCACACACACACACAGCAGGCACCACACACAATGTACACCTGCCACACACACACACACATACCACACCACAAGCACTCACACGCTTCCTCTCGGAATGAACATGCGGGTCCCCGAATTGCTGGCTGGGGTTCTCGCCATCCTCCCGACAGGGGGAGAGCACTGAGCCCCCCTCAGGCCTGACCCTCCTGGGCGGCTCCTGTGGTCCAGGCACGAGTCCCCTGAGGGCTGGTTGAGCACTTTTCCCGTAAGTCAAAGGAAAAAGTCCCACGTGCTGCTGTCAGACCTTTGGTCAGTCCTCACGTTGTGCTTGCGTGTGCACAGTCTGTGACACCCACAGAACACACGTGTGCCAGGTGTCCTCAGCATGGAGGCAGTCTGGAGGTTGTGTGCCTCCTGCACGCGGTGCCCGGCTGCCCTGGCAGCAGCGGGGACCCTCCTGCTCCGCATCCCTGCCGGGGAGGCTGGAGTCAGTGCCGGCCACTCCTGGAGGCCTGACCCGCGGCAGCCGGCCCACTTCACCAACTGGTACTACACCCGTCCCGTCTGCTTGCCGTCTCCAGGAGCCACGGCCCCTGTCCATGGGGAGATGCCAGTTCTACTCCAGCGGGGTTGGCTACTTGTACGACGTCTACCAGACAGAGGTGAGTGGCACCGTGCGGTCGCCACGCTACGAGGTGTCTGTGCCGCCCGAGGCGCCTTGATCCCAGAAGCCCCTCCCACGCGGCTCTCCGGGGTGGCAAGACACCGTGTCTGTCATGCTGAGACAGGCCATGACAGGCCATGCGTGGGGTCCACTGGGTGGCAGCTGTGGACAAGCGTCCCAGACCCGCGGTCTTGGAGTCCGTCTGTCCAGTCCACGTCCTCTGGTCAGTGTTTCTACAGTGCAGCTCTAGCCATAAGAGCCCAGGAAAAAGTCTGGCCCCAAAGCCCCCGCACGGCCTCCTCGCCCAGGTGCACTGGCAGTCATGGAGGCTCCGGCTCCTCGGGCCGCCCGTTCCCTGCAGACGTGCAGACGTGTCGGTTTATCCAGTCGCAGCTCTCACGCAGAGCACAAGTGTCAGCGGGGAGGCTCCGCGGCAGGCCCGTGGCTGGCTCTAGGACCCCGGAAAGCCGTGGGAGGGGGCCAGGAGCTCGGGGCGCTTCAGAGAAGGGGCTGTGTGGTGGGCGGGCGCGCCCCGGGCCAGGCCTTCCTACCCGGTCCCAAGGCGGCGGCCGGTGTCTTCTCCGAGGCTGCCCAGCGTGAGGGCTGGCGGAAGGGCACCCCGGTACGGGTCCTGCTCCGCGTGTCCTGGGCGCTCCGCCTGACACCCCAGCCCCCAGGGACTCCGGCCTGCCAGCCCCCCCTGGTGTTCCCTCTGCCCGGGATCAGGGCGGGCGGGGCCCCTCCACAGGCCTGCCCACGGCCCTCCTGACTCGCCTGCGTCCCATCCCGGGGCATCCTCCCGGGGCTGGCCTGGACCCCCACCGGGGAGGGCCCTGCCCCAGCCCTGGAATGGGGGATGTCAGGACCGGCTCCAGAAGGGGCGCCACCCACACGGGGAGGGGAAGCGGGTGCGGGGTGTGGCCTGACGGGGCCTGTCTGCCCAGGTCACCTGCCACTCCGTGGACGGCAAGTGTGCGCTGCGGGTGCGGAGCCACACCTGCTACTGCTGCGACCTCTACGCCTGCGGGAGGTGAGGCCCACGTGTGTCTGCAGGGTGAGGTCCTCCCGTGCATGTCGGCAGGGGTGAGGCCCCCACACGGGTGTCTGCAGGGGTGAAGTCCCCCCAGTACAAGTGTCTGCAGGAGCGAGGTCCCCCCAACACATGTGTCTGCAGGGGTGAGGTCCTCCCAAGCATGTCTGTAGGGATGAGGCCCCCAAACAGGTGTTTACAGGGTGGAGGTTCCCCCAACATATGTGTCTGCAGGAGTGAGGCCCCCACACAGGTATCTGCAGGGTTGAGGTCCTCCCAACATGTGTGTCTGCAGGGGTGAGTTCCCCCCAACACGTATGTGCAGGGTTGAGGTCCTTCCATTCATGTCTGCAGGGGTGAGACCCCCACACAAGTGTCTGCAGGGGTGAGTTCTCCCCCTACACAGGTGTCTGAAACGGCGAGTTCCCCCCAACATGTGTGTCTGCAAGGATGAGGTCCTTTTGTGCATGTATGCAGGGGTGAGGCCTCCAAAGAGGTGTCTGTAGTGGTGAGGCCCCCACACAAGTGTCTGCAGGGGTGAGGTCCTTTTGTGCATGTATGCAGGGGTGAGGCCTCCAAAGAGGTGTCTGTAGTGGTGAGGCCCCCACACAAGTGTCTGCAGGGATGAGGTCCTTTTGTGCATGTATGCAGGGGTGAGGCCTCCAAAGAGGTGTCTGTAGTGGTGAGGCCCCCACACAAGTGTCTGCAGGGGTGAGGTCCTCCCATGCATGTCTGCAGGGGTGAGGCCCCCAAACAGGTGTCTGCAGTGGTGAGGTTCCTCCAACATGTGTGTCTGCAGGGGTGAGGTCCCCCCAGCATGTGTGGCTACAGGGGTGAGGTACTCCCACACATGTCTGTAAGGGTGAGGCCCCTACACAGGGGTGTGCAGTGGGGAGGTTCCTCCAACACTTGTGTCTGCGGAGGTGAAGTCCTCCCAAACATGTCTGTAGGGGTGAGGCCCCCACACAGGTGTTTGCACGGTTGAGGTCCGCCACCATGTGTGTCTGCAGAGGTGAGGTCCTCCCTTGAATGTCTGCAGGGTGAGGCCCCCCACACAGGTGTCTGCAGGGATAAGACTCTTAGTGTCTGCAGGGGCGAGGCCCCCACACATGTGTCTGCAGGAGTGAGGCCTCCATACACATCTGCAAGGGTGAGGACCCCCACATATGTCTGCAGGGGTAAGATGCCTCCCCCAACATGCGTGTCTGTGGGGTAAGTCCCCCATGCGTGGCTGGAGGGGTGAGGACCCCACATATGCATGTTTGCAGGGGTGAGGCCCCTCTCATACCTGTCTGCAGGATGGGAGGTCCCCCAATCCGTGTCTGCAGGGGCAAGGCCTCCCACACGGTGTCTGCAGGGACAAGACCTCTCTCCACAACACACGTCTGCATGAGTGAAGCCCCCCCACACGTGTCTGCATCCCCTCACCTGCACATCCATAAGGAAGAGGTCCCTCCACATGTGTGTCTGCATGTGTGTCTACTGGGGTTTGTCTACAGGGGTGAATTCCTCCCACACACGTGTCCATAGGGATGAGGTTCCCCCACACATGTGTCCCCAAGAGTGAGGTCCCCCCACACATGTGCCTGCAGGGGTGAAGCTCCCCCAACATGTGCGTCTTCAGGGATGAGGTCTCCTGATGTGTGACTGCTGGGGTGAGTTCTTCCCACACGTGTGTCTGCAGGGGTGCGGCGCCCCTGCACAAGTGTCCACAAGAGTGGTCTCACATGCGTGTCCGCAAAGATGAGCACTCCCCACACGGGCGTCTGCGAGGAGGAGGTCCCCTCCCCCACGCGTGTCTGCAGGGGTGAGGCCCCCCCCTGCCCTCACTGCCTGAGGTTCCCCCACACACCTTCCGCCACCTGGCATAGCCCTGAAACCACACGTGGGAAAGGCTTCGACTCTCGCAGAGAGGGACACGGAGGCCCTGAGAGTCTGATCTGCCCACGAGCACACGGCTGGCGTGAGCCAGGCCGGGGCTCGGGCTGGCTGGCCTCTCCGGGGCCCGAGACCCAGAACGGCCCTTCCTGGCCCACGTGGGAGCAGAGCTTGTCTCACGGGTGACTCAGCGGGGGGCTCTGCCCATCCTGCCAGCTGCCGAACCTGTGGCCCCTCTCCAGGTGGGGCTCGGTCGCTGGCCGCCCATCACGGAGTCACCCCCAAGGCAGGAGGGAGCCCATGCTGTTTGGGAAGCATGGAGGGAACCGAGGACCCAGCTCTAGGAAAGCCGGCGGCCCAGGCCGGACCGCACAGAACACACGCATTCCAGTCTGCGTGAAGTTCTTAGACATCCACAGCTCCCTGCTGCACGGGACCCTGGAGACAGGGCACAGCCCCAGAGTCGCCCATCGTGGCCTCAGCGGCCTATTCAGGGCGCCTCCCTCGACCCTCAAGGCCCTCCGACACAGGACGGCGCTGTGCCCCACAGCTCCCCGCACACGCGGACCACGTCCTCCCGCACCCGTCCGTGGCCGGTGAGCTCAGCAGGGCTCGTCCTTCCTGCCTCACGGGGCCAGGAGGAAGCGCAGTGCCAGGGGTGGACCAGCCGGTCCCCTCCCAGGCTCAGATCTCTCAGTGCCACCAAGCCTCAAGTCAGAGCGCGGAGCCCCTGAGCTGTTTCACACCTTCTGCCAGAGAGCCTGTCTCTGGACCCCAAGTTCAGGGCTGGAGGATGCCCCAGTCCCCATCAGGGACCAGCCCGGCTTCTCCTCCCGTGGGCGTGTGTGGCTCGGCTGTGCGGGCCGTGCTCGCCCTGCCAGCACCCGGGCCTGCGTGCGGGCCCCGCCTTGGTGTCTGTTGGCCCAGCTCTTCTCGGGGGGCCATGGGCGTTCCTGCTCCCCAGGGCAGAGGTGCACCTGGGCATGGGCCCGGCCCCGTGAGGCGCCATCTCCTGCCCCCCAGAGGTCCCAGCAGTGGGACACCCCAAGAGCGCAGCTCCTCTCTCGGCCCACCACCATGTCTCCGCTGCCTCTTGACCCTGCAGTGACACGAGCTGCCCGTGCCCCATAGTCATGGTCACCAGGAGCCTGGTGCCAGCCCTGCAGACGCTGGCCTGCCTTTCTCCTTGCTGCCGCGTGGCATCCCTTTGTGGGGACAGCCAGGGCACTGACACTGCCGGTGAACGCGGGTTGGTGTCCCGTGGAGGCGAGGGCCAGGGGCTTTTGAGCCCAACGTGTGTGTCCAGCAGGAAGGCTGGCATTCGTTGCGGGGAGGCCGCCTCTAAAGTTTGGCGACGCCAGGGCTAGAGCCGCACCCACTCCTTCCCTAGAGAGGGTTCCGTGTTTCCAGAGGAGAACAGAGGCTCCCCGCCTGGGACCTGCGCCCAGGCTGCAGGCCCCACCCGGCCCCACGTGGCAGAGGGCCGCGACGCCCCAAGTGATCCCTGCCGGCCAGATCGGGAGGCTCCGGTCGGGGTGACGACGGCTTCATGCTGCATCCCTCAGGGGAGACCGAGGCCCAGCCTCCCTGCCTCCACGGCCGGCATCCAGAGGCGGCCTCCCAAGGGGCAGCCCTGCCTTGTGGCCCCGAGGACTCGGGACGGGAGGACTGAGCCCTGAGGTCCTCCCCAGCCCAGGGCTCGAGCCGGGGGCTCCCACTGTGGCCCGCCTCGTGCTGCCCGCTGACCGTCCCCTCCCTGCAGCACGGAGTCCTCGCCTGCCTACTACGAGTTTGTCGGCGTGCGCGGCTGCCAGGACGTGCTGCACCTGTACCGCCTGCTGTGGGCCTCGGCGGTGCTGAACGTGCTGGGCCTGCTGCTGGGCAGCGTCACGGCCGCCGTGCTGGGGGCCTTCAAGGACATGGTGAGTGTGGCGGGCGGGCCGGCGGGCGGCAAGGGCGTCTCCCGGGGGCCGGACTGGGGACGTCTCCCGGGTGGGCTGGGCTGGGCATCGGGGCATCTTCAGGGGAGTCTCTCAGGGGGGCTGGGGCTTAGGGCATCTCCTGGGTGTACCGAGACTTGGGAGTGTCTCTGGGCGGGCCAGGCTGGGGGTCTCTCCCACGTGGGCCGGGACTTGGGGCGTCTCCCGGGTGGGCTGGGCAGAGGGCGTCTCCCTGGGGGCTCAGGACTCGAGGCTTCTCCCATGCGGGCCGGGACTTGGGGTGTCTCCCGGGTGGGCTAGGGGTGTCTCCCGGGGAGGTCAGGGCTTGGGGCATCTCCCGGGCGGGCAGCACAGGGCCTTCCTGCTTCTTGGCTGAGGGCACTGGGCCCCTGGGCCCATCCTCAAGGCCTGTCCCAGGTGTGAGGGCTATCCAGCGCTGATGACGCTTCTGGCACGGGCCTGGACACGTCACGTGGTCCCCGCAGCAAGTCCTGGCCCTGAGGCGGGCCTGCCCCGTCCGAGAAACGGAGCTCACAGCCAAGAGGGCAACAGTGCAGGCACGCTGGACCTCATCCACCTGCCGCCTCACCCACCGATCAGCCCGGAGCCCCCGCAGGGCCTGGGTGGGGCTGAGCCTGGGCTGGACACTTGGGGCTGAGAGCCCGCGCAGCCAACCGCGGCTGGCCGGGCGAGGAGGGGTCCGCGGGCCTCTGTGTGGCACCAGGGCCTGGTTTCCTCCCCCCAAGGAGCTGGGGCTGGGGCCGCGGCACGGACGCTTCCTTCTCTCCCTCAGAGTGTCTGGGGTGCCCACGCTGCCGGCCCCTCCCTGCACCCGCAGAGAGCCACCTGTGGGTGCAGCCCCCGGGGGTGCACATAGCAGCCTGCGGACGAGGGGCCACCGACCCCCGGCCCACGTTCTCCAACAGGCTGGGGTGGGCGGGGGCAGACCGATGCCGCCGGCCAGAGCCTGGGCTGGGCCCTTTCTGAGGGGCTGCCTAGATGTCCAGGGCTTCCTTAGTTGCTTCGCTGGACCCCTCCCGGGACCTGCTGTCCAGCCTCGTGTGTTTTCATTCTACGCGCCCAGAGATGGCAGAGCCCGCAGACCCCGATCCCCGAGCCCAGCCCTCTGCTTGCACCCCAGGCAGTGCCTCCAAGCCCCAGCCTGGGGCCCAAGACGCCCCTATCGGGACATGGGACATGCACCCTTCCCGGTGTCCTTGCTGCACGGTGGCAGCCCTGCTGCCCCCAATTGGGGGCAGCTGCCCTGGGCCAGAAAGGCTTCTGCCAGGGCTGGGAGGGTCCCGGGCACCGGTGGCACTCTCCTCAGTACCGAGGCCTCTCCCCCGCGGCTGTCCTAGGATGGCAGACGGGTATAGAGTGTGCGTCTAGGAGTCGTGCTGTCCTTGGAAGCCCAGGGAGCCGGGCTGCTCAGGGTTTTCCAGAAGAGGCTCGTGTGTTCGCTGAAGTCCATGACAGCTTGCTGGCGCGCCGGGCCAGGCTTGGAGGTGCTCAGGGGCCACCCACACCCCTGAGTCTGGACCCAGCTCCGCACCCCTTTCCTTTTGAGTCCAAAGCTCAGGGCCATGCAGGGGTGAGAAAGGCGGTTCCATAACCTTTTGCACCGACCCAGTAGATGCCCGTGAGGATCACAGGTTCTGTCACTTGACAGTTAATTCAAGGGAGAAGGTGCTTCTTACAGGCCACCAGGAGGCAAGAGCCCTCCTGGATGGGTGACGGCATCGCAGACACTGGCCCCTGAGAGAGGGAGACCAGCGGCTCTTGCTGATCCGGGGGGTCCCAGGGACGGATGAGTGGAGAACTGGAGGAGGTTAATTCAGTCAAGCAACGCAGATATGGGACGGGCGTCCCCTTCCAGGCTCCACGGGAGGTGTGGCCGCTCCTTCTGCAGCCCGGGGTGGGGCTCCCAGCCAGGGGCGGCGTGGGGGCCTGAGGGCTTGCGCCCCCCTGTCCCTTCCTGTGGCAGGTGCCCCTGACCCAGCTGGCCTACGGCCCAACCCCCCCGCCGCAGACCCTCTACAACCCAGCCCGACAGATCCTGGCCTATGCGGGCTTCGGCCCCACGCCCGAGACCGTGCCCGCCGGCTCGCCCTACCCTCTGCCGCTTCAGGTAGGGTTTCGTCACCTGCCGGAGGCAGACATGCCGCGGGCCGGGGGTGTGTGGGACGGGCAGGGCCGGAGGGCTCCTGGTCCAGGCAGGGGAGGAGATGGGAGGAGCCGGCCGTCGAGGCGAACTTCCTGCGGGGACTACCGTTGCCTGCCTGGCGCTGGGGCCCCTTGGAGCCCGGGTGACCGGCCGTGGCACTCTGCCCGCGTCTGGCTCTTCTGAGCCGTGCACTGGCCCTGTGTGGGCGGGCCGCTCCCCGGCTGGCCGATGGGGACCCCAGCCGCCTGGACGCCGGATATTCGTGGGCATAGCCATGTCACTCAATTGAAGCCACATGACCCTTCCCTCAGAAGTGGGGTTTTGTGGTTCCTTCTGATGGATGCTGTTGGCCTTGAGGCTGCTAGAAAAAAGGGCATGGGGGGCGCCTGCGTCTACACGGGAACCTTCTCTGGTCCTCCTGCCTCTAAGCCTGGTTTTGATGTCTTTCTGGTCATGGGTGAAAAAGACCCTGAGAACCCAGCATCATGTTTGCCATGGTGCCACGTTTCCCACCGTGGCACGATGGGTGTTCTGGGCCCATTGCCCTCTGTGCGGGGGTATCTGAGCTCTGCGTTGCTGGAGACCCTCCCCTACGTGACACAGAGACCGTCTCCAACGTGCCCAGCATCCTCAGGGATGACACTGAGACCCCCAGCACACCTGGGCCTCCTCTCTAGGGTGGGCTCCCATGTGGCTGACGGGCAGCTCTCTGCTGTGTGGACGTCTGCTCTGCAGAGCCACTGAGCCGGGCTGGGCCCCGGGAGACTCATGATGTTAAGACAGGACCCAGGGAGTCCCTGCGTGGGGCGGGCAGGACGCACACGTGGCCGTTTGCTCTGCAGTCGCGCATGTCTGTAGGTAGCCCTCATGGCTGGCTCCTGGCCAGTGATGCTGGCAGGAAGGGACCTGCTTAGACATCTGGGGAGATGCTGATGGTCCAGGACAGAGGAAAGTTTTAGGGCCTCGCCCGCCGTGACTGGGCTTGAGCAGGCTGGAGAACCCTGCAACGCCCAGCTCATGCCCATGATGTTTGTGGAGGGAACAGGGCCAGCAGCTCGTGGTGGGGCAGGCTTGGGTGCAGGGCGTGGCCTCCTTCGGTTCTGGAAATGACTAAGGTCCCGGCTCACCTAGAAAGCTTAGCTGAGGGCTGTGCTCACGGGGGTGTGGAGGGGCCTTTGAACTCCTCCATGGGAGAGGCCCACCCTGAGACCAGGCACGGTGTGGCCTCATGGCATGGCTGCCCCCGGCTGTGCCCGGGTCCCCGTGGGCCCGTGGGGGACTCCTGACTGACAGCATGAGGCCCTGGGAAGGCTTGGAGCCTGTCTCCTCTGTTTCTGTGACATGGGATGGAGTGTCCTGGCATCAGGAACACCGGGCTTTGCATGGTGGCCATGCCCGTGGGCAACCTGTCTGGGTGGCACCAGCGACTCCACGGCCCTCATCTTCTCTCGGGGCACGCACCCTGCCCCGGGGGCCTCCTGGTTGCAGAGGGACCTGCACCGGGCTGTGCCTTGCCCTGGGGGCCCCGCCCTCACCAACCCAGGACCCAAGGCCCACCACACGGATGGTCTCCAGGGACGCTAGGCCTGCTGCTGCCCCCACGGTGGGTCTGGCAGTTGCCGGGCACTGATGCCAACGTGGAGTCGTACCACAGGAGCAGGATCCCAAGTGCAGTATGTCTGTCATCCTCACACCCAGCGCCCCAGGGGAGCGAGACAGAGTGGGTTCCCTAGCCCCCGCCCCGCCCAGCACCAGGGCCTCGGGCTGTGGGAGCAGCTCGGCTCTGGCCGTGACCTCGGACCGCCCCCTGCCGCTGCCTGCTGGCCTCACTGGGCTTCTGTGGATGAGGAGGCTTTGGGGCAGGGAGTTGTAGCCCCTCAGGCAGGGGCCGTGTCCAGCCCACCGTGGAGAGGAAGTGACTGCACACCGTGGGCAGGAGGGGCTGGTCTCCCCAGAAAGCACGGGCCAGTGGGAGCAGGTGGCAGACGCACCCTGCCTGTGGCATGCCCCCTTCCACCTCTGGGGGTTCCAGCTTTCCACAAGAGGGACACCTCTTCCTCCGGGGAGGCCCGGGCACCCCCTCATGGCCTCACCAGCTTCCGTTGCCGGCACGTGGAGGCGCGTGATCCGTGGCCGGGTTCTGGAGGGAAGGCCCTCGGACGAGCACGCGTCTCTGCAGAAGTACGACCAGTCAGGGCTGCTTCCGGTGCCCCGGAGAGGTGAGCAGGGTGACTGCAGTGCCCCGCCGAGGCGGCAGCAGCAGCAACACCCTGCACAGCCAGCGCAGGCCGCGGATGGCAACGGGGCGTTCTGGGCAGCTTGTGGAAGGGAAAGTCGCAGACCCACCTCCTCTGCGCCCGGCTGCTGATCGGGCAGGAGGTGCAGGAAGGGCTGGATCTCCGGGCTTTGTGACGAGGGATACCGCGGAGGGCTCGTTCCTGTCCTGCTGCCAAGACATGCACTGTCCCTCGTCCCGGTGGGGTCCCCTGCGGGCAGGCTCTGTCCCCGGGGAGGTGCACTCCGGTGCTCTACTCTGTGGCTCCTGGTTTTTATGCCGTGGTTTCTGGTGGTGTACTCCATGGTTCTTAGTCGTTTACTCTGTGGTTCCTGGGGGTTTACTCTGTGGCTTCTGGAAGTTTACTCTGTGAATCTTGGTTTTTGTGCTCCGTGGCTCCTGGTGGTTTACTCCGTGGTTTCTGGAAGTTTACTCTGTGGCTCTTGGTTTTTACTCTGTGGTTCCTGGTGGTGTGCTCTGTGGTTTCTGGAGGTTAACTCCGTGGTTCCTGGGGGCTTACTCTGTGTCTTTGGGTCTTACTCCATGGTTTTTGGTGGTTTACTCGTGGTTCCTGGATGTTTACTCGTGGCTCTTGGTTTTTATTCTGTGGTTCTGGTTGGTTTACGCCTTGGTGTCCTTCCTGCTCATACGCAGTGAGACCTGCCCAGACACTCCTGGGCTGTGAGCCGGGAGCGCCTACCTGACCCGCGGGAATGTTCCCTGGAGGCTCCTGTGTCCTGTGTGGCCCGAAAGCTGTGTGGTTCAGCAGGAAGGCGAGAAAGGAGGTGGAGGGTCCCCGAGCGGGCACATCCCCGAGTCCGGCCGAGGGTCTCCATTCCCACTCCCCCGGGGGAGGGTGGCTTCTCAGCCCCAGCTGCACCTGCAAGAAGACCCTCCCTCCAGCCCCGGAGGACCTGCTGGCTCTGGGGCCTCGCAGTGGGGACGTCTCCCGCGAGGGGTGCAGGCGGACTGTCAGTCGGTTTATCGGGGAGCCCTGGACACTACGGACACATCCGCAGAGCCGAGTGTTAAAGAACTCCCCTGTGTTCTTTCATAGAGGGAGTTTTTGGTTTGCTTTATTCATTGAGGACTTGATTTTAAGAGGGAGTTTTTTAACCCAGAGAGTTTAAGGGGAAAAGGAGAAATGGAAAGAGGTTCACGGGCAGATGGAGGATGATGATTGATTAATCTGAAATCTGTGCTATTCCTCGCACTTTTTATTTCAGGGTTACTCAAGCGGGTCAGTGAGAGTCGGGGCCTCCAGGGAAGCAAAACAAGCAGCAGAACTCTGTGTGTGTGCGTGTGTGTGTGTGTGAGAGAGATTTTACGTGACTGACACGTGACTGTGGGGCTGCCGGGGGAAGCCTGCCCAGCAGCGGCAGGCGGCGCCCAGCGAGGCCGACGCTGCAGCAGTGGTCCGAGTCCTCTGCCTGCTGGGGACAGGGCTCCCCAGCTCAGGGGGCTGCAGCCTTTCTCTCCATGGCCTTCAGTGTCGAGGGTGAGGCCAGGTGGGGGTGACCTGCTTGCTCAAGGGCCCGGCTCGGGCGTCAGCCCCCTGGAGACGTGGCCAGAGCAGCGCCAGACCCGTGTGTGAGCACACCTGCGCCTCGAAGCTGGTGCGACGTCAGCCCCCCGCTCCATGGGAAACAAGGACACGCAAATGGAAAGCGGGGGGAGCCCAGGGGCCTGGCCCCACAGCCCAGGAGCATGGTTGCCGCAGGCGGGCAAAGGCTAGAGGCTGCGAGGTCCTGGGAGGCCGGTGGACTTGCGGGGAGCACACCCTTCCTGGGGGTCTCCTGCAGAGGCCTAGGGGCCGAATCGTGGCCCCACACCCGCCCCACAAGGGGCTTCCCCAGGAGGCCTGGGTGCGGCTGGTGGCTCCGGGCCTGGAGGGCCGTGCCGGCGCCTGTCGGGCTCGACTCCCCTGTCGGCGGGTCGCCCCGCTGACGCCCCTCTCTGTGTGTCGCAGCCCTCTGCAGCCTTCCCTCTGCCCGAGGACGTGCAGCCTCCCCCTCCGCACGGCTCCAGCTCCGGGCCACCCCCGCGGGCCCCACCACACTACGCTCCGGCCTGTCTCCTCCCGGGGGAGAAGCCACCCCCCTACGCGCCCTGACCCAGGGCTGTGGATTGAGAAACAAGGCGGCCTCTAGGAACCCCGCTTCTGCGGCCAACCTCTGAGAAAATCCAGGGAAACTTCTGGAAGTTTGTGCCCTCCTGGGACTGTGATCGCGGCTGGCCCCTGTGCCGGCCGTCACACGGCGAGCACCCCGCCAGGCCCGCCCCAAGCGACTCTCCACGGCTTCTCACCGTGACCCACCCAAGCTGAGTGTCACTCCCGCCGGCCTCTTCTCAGCGGTTGTTGCCAGCTGGCAAAGGGAATGGGGCCCGTGCACCCCCGCGTGAGGCCTGAACCTTCGGGAAAGGCGCCGTGCGTTCACACGTGTGTGTTTGGTGTGTGTGTGTGTTTACACGCGTGTGTCTGTGTCCCGAGAACAGGCAGCCCATCGTGCTGTGTTCCTGCCATTTTCTTGGAGTGGATATGCTTCGGCTCAGCCCCAGCGCTGCTTCTCACGCCCGTGCGCTGCCAGTGTCCGCGTGTCCCCGTGTCCCCTAGGCTCCATTCGCGATCTGCCCCACGCCTGGCGTGAGGCCCTCACCGCGCTGTATCTTCCTCGGCGCCCGGGCTCGCGCGTCCTTCCCCAGCCTCCACTGCACACCCCTCCCCCAGCACGGCCTCTGCTCCAGCAGCGGGGCTGAGTGGGCTTCCACGGCCTCCACGGGGCCTGGTCTTTGGCTCTCCCTGGTGTAATCCCGCGGCGCCTCATGAGGGCTGTGGTCTCCTGGCTCTCCGGGTGCCCCTCTGGGAAGTGACAGAGCCCAGGCGTGACGGGCAGAGCCCCAGGAGCGTCAGGGCGGGACGTGCCCGCAGCCAGGCTCTGGCTCAGTGGTGCCGCGTGGACGCCCCTGAAGAGCAGCGGGGCAGGAGAGGCTTTCTCTGAGCCCCGAGGCAGATCGTCCCCGTCCCCAACGGCCCACACCCCTGGCCCATAGGACATGCGTGGGGTCCAGCCTCCCGCTCCTGCGTGTCCCCGTGTCCCCCTGTGATGCCCCGTGTGCAATAAACGTGTGCTTTGCTCCCATACGTTCCTGTGGTCAGCCCATTTCATAGAGCCAGCGATGGCCACAAGTGGCCGGGAGGCCAGGGAGGCCTTGTCTCGTCACACAGCCCTGGGTCTCTGGGATCAAGGTGAGGGGTGAGGGTCTCGGTGGTGCAGCCCCACCAGCTGGGAGCCTCCGTTCTGCTTCAGACGAGTCTCTCGTCCTGGGTTCAGGTTTCTGGGCACGGAGGACGGTTTCCCAGGAAGAAGGTGCAGCACACACGGCCAGAGAAACCTGGTCTGAGCGACCTAGACCCAGGGACGCTCCCAGGGGAGCCACCCAGGCTGATGTGTGTCCCGGTCGAGATGACGTGTCCTGCAGGAGGGTCTCCCTCCCGATGGTTTGGAGAGCTGAGGCCCCCTGGTCAGTTGTGGGAGAGGATCTCACCGTGGCCCTCTGTCCACTGCTCGTGTCCCTGGCTCCTAG